AAAATACACACTGGATTTCAAAGATTTTGTACAAAAATGCAAAATACCTCAATAATTTTTGTATCAACTACATGTTGAAATTACTATATTTGGGATATATTGATTACATATGTGGCTCACATTACATTTTTACTGGACTGCTCTAGAGCAATGATTTACACAAGAAAAGCGTAGACAACACAGGACCATTTAATTATAAGACATAAAAATTGGGGAAGCTCTACTGCACCACAACTCATGGTCATTGTCTTCCTGTTCCTTTTCTGTCTTCTTCCTCTCCTCCCTCTAACAATGAGGCACACAGGACTCTTAAGAGCTAGAAAGACTGATGACCCAGGGTTTAAATGACTCAAGGTAGTCTCTTATTGATAGAGATTTTAATTACAAAAAAAAAAAACAGTATTATGACTTGGCAACCCCTGTATACTAGGAGTATATTAGTAGTTTTAAGGGAAAGATGTCAAACAGCTTTGCCTTTCCCCATGGAAAGTCTTTTGTAGAAGTTTTCTAATAAGTAAGTCACTAAAAACTACTTAAATATGTTTTAAAAGTTTTAAAATCCTTAGTCCCAAAATATGAATGAAAGACAAAGTGATTCTACTACTTTATTCTAAATTGCATTTATTTAAAAAATATCAGAGAGTAGATTTTAAAATCACAATGAATGGAGAAGCACTCTCACCCAAGCATTTTAAGCCATCACAGAATGGATTTATTATCTTAATGACTGCTATGGTCATTCTCCAATTCCTACAGCATATTCATGCAGCAGAAAACAGAGAATGAGAAGATATTTAAGAACTCTTAGCAGTTTACATAGATTCCTTGCTATATGAAGCAGATCAGGAGGTCTTCGCTCTGACTCAATTTAGTAGAGAAATCCATTGACCATTCTGGAGAACATCTCCTTTCATCAGTATTGGCAGAGACTGCTGGCCAATTCCCAGCTTTATAAACACACAGATAAGGCTACATCTCCCAGTCTTCCTTATGGTTAGATGTGACCAAGTTCTCAAAAGTGGAATGTGAGAAGGCTATTTCCTTGCCTGACCCATAAAAATCTTCCACAAGTCCACTTCCCCTCTCCTCCACTCTTCTCTTCCTTTCTCAGGTTTGATGAAGAAAAGCATAAAGACCTTAGAAACCATATACCAAAGACTGTAGAGCCACAAGGGGGGAAGGAGCCTGGATTCTCACACAACTGCTAGAGAGGCCATCTACCTACCAAGAACATCCCCCCAGGACAGTCAGGTAAGCAAAAAACATCCCTTTATTGTGTTAAGCCACTGAAGTTTCGGGGTTTGTAAGAGCAGCAAGTGTCACCCTAAAGATATAATCAGTGACCCAAAGGACGGTAACTTAGCCTAAGGAGACACTATTTTCAAAATTCTTGGGATCACCACTGAGCAGCAAGACAGCACGCCATCCTTTGAGTTCGTTTTTTCTCCACCTTCTTTTTACTACTCCCAGCTATAGTATTTGCAAGACTGTGACTGGACAGACATGTAAACAGGTGAAAAAAGAAATGGCCAATAAGCATATGAAAAGGTGTCCAACATCACTAATCATCAGGGAAATATAAATTAAAATGACAGTAAATGGCTAGAATGAAATACACCAGCAATATCAAGTAATGGTAAGAACATGGAGTGAATGGAACACTCTTACAATGCTGGTGGCTATATTAAATGGTACAAGCATTCTGGAAAATTCTTTAGATGTTTCTAGTGAAGTTAAAACCCCATTATCAAGCAATTCCACTCCTAGGTATATGCACAAGAAAACTGAGTGCTTATGTTGAGCAAAAGACTTGTGGAAAAATATTCACATAAGGTTTACTCATAATAGTCAAAAACAATCCAAATACCCATCAACAGAAGACTGCAAAACAATTTGTAGTATATTCAAATGACAGAATACCACACAAGAATAAAAAAGAATTACTGATACACAAAACATGGATGAATCTCACAGATATTATGTTGAATAAAAGCAGCTAGACACAAAAAAGGGCATACTCTATGATTCCATTTATATAAAGTTCAAGAACAGGCAAATCAATTTATGGCAATAAAAATCAGAATACTGGTTACCTGCAGGCCAGGGAGTAGACTGGAAAATGGCACGAGGGAACTGTCTAGGGTGATAAAAATGTTCCATTATCTTGATTTGGGCAATGGTTATAAGGAGTATACGTAGGTAAAAACTTAAACTGTATACTTAAAGATTTTTGCATTTTAGGCCAGGCGC